ATGATTTGGTAGTCAGGGAGGAAGCAGGGTATTGCTCAACAATCATCTTAGCCTGTCTCGTGGTACAGAGCAAGTTCACTTAAGGCAAGAGTTGCCCTCACAGTGGGGTGAAACTCAGTCCTGGCATTGCTTTTCACTTCTAAAGGAGATCAACGAGGTTGTAGCTAGCACTGTCTCTAAACTGGGTCAAGAACTGATCACAGAAAGGAGCTGGCACAGAGCTGATTCCAGCACCAGCAAGCACTGGGATAGGTCCACCAAGCCCAGTAGGAATGCCATTTGTTGAGAGAGCCTGACTTACAAAAAATTAGACTATGTCACTGAATTCACAGATGACACTTGATGCCAGAGTAACAGATAAGTGTACAAAATTTTACAGAGCTAAATAAATTTATCATCATGGATTGAAAACCCTCTGAACAACTGAATCTGAGTCTGTACACTGAATCATAATTAACCCCAACCTGTCTTTGAGATTTGTTTCGGAAATACTGTCTGCACCCCCAGCAATAACAGAAATTAACCTCTTACCCTGTATGCCCTCTCAGTAACAGCCTTAATGTTGGCCTCCTTCCATTTTCCAGGAACTCCATCAACCACTTCACGATAGTTCACGTAGTAGCCAGTAATTTCAACTCCACCGGTGACCTTAGGTTGTTTCCATCCCAATACCATTGAGTCACGGACACTCTCGAGTACCACGATGTCATAAGGTGGAGATGGAGCAGCTGTTTCAATGTGAATAGTGCATGAGTAGGAAGTAATATTCCAATAGTCAGACTGGCTTTGACTTACCGTGTTCAGGTGGCTGCCATCCTGCGTTTCCTAATTAGGATGATATTTATGTGCTCAAGGGAAGTTTCTGCAGTTGGAATAAGAAATGCAGGATAAAAGCTTCCACAAACAAAATGCATGAGTCCAAACTGCATAGGAATTAGTTTTCAGGATCCCTTGTTTTTGAGAAGCAAGCTGATACATAGTGAAAGAATGTGTTGCTATTGCAGCTCTGATGCAAGTGATCACTTTAATACTATGAAAAATAAGGAATTAAAACTATTACAGGTAAATTTAAAAAAAAAGGAGATGCAATGATTTGTTTTCTTTTGGAGAAAGCAAACCCTTTTTCACACATAAAATATTCCTTGTAGTTCCTTTTTCAATTTTTTTTCAGTCTCACATTCTTCCCTCCCGAGAATGGACTTCGCCTGTTTGTTTTTTCTTTTTAATTTATACACTGTGCAAATTTTATCATTGCACCCATCACATGATCTTACCTTAATGGAAAGCAGCATGATCATAGGCACTGTAGACTGACCAGAAATGGAACATGTCTGTTACTGGAACTTACGTTAAAAACTGTGTGGCATAAATCTCCTTTTCAGACTTTTTTTTTTTTAACAATACAGAAATCCTCACTTCATCCCAACCCTCTTTCTTATATTCTTTCTGCATCTAGTAGGGAAATGCTTGCCTGTACCTAATATGTCATGCACCAGTGAAGAGCCCTACTTGTGACCCTGAAGTCCTACTTTGGATGGAAATTCCTCATCATATACATTTCCTTTTGTCTTTAGTGTTTTATATCAGTGTTAGCTAGCCTCGTGCCTCGGCTCTGTTTTCTGTTCAACACTTTGCATAAGCCTTTTGAGTCTCACTTCAGAGGCCTGGGGAGGAGTTCAGTTCACTGACCAGGTACCAGGACTTAAATGACATTCAAGCCCCACATTTCTTGAGCAAAATGGCTACTTAGGTGCTGAAAACATAAAACATGAGTTGAAGGCATGTGCTTTCAACTTGATAGGTTTTCCCCCTTACATATTGCTATCAGTCAGAGATACAACACAACATTCATTAGCACCCTGTGTCAGAGGATAAGCTGTAGCTTAGGCATAAATCCACAAAGGATCTTCATACATCCTAACATAACATAGATTTTCATGCTTACCATCATAATCTGATTTTTTTTCCTTCACATGTTTATAACCCAGAGACTAGGTAACTAGACTCCTAACAAATTACTGAAACGATTTAGAAATAATATAGTCTGTTGTATACATTAATGTGTAGTCAAACAGGCCATTAAATTACTAAACATATTTACATGCTTCACTTTCAGTAGCCACTAAGTTTGTAAAGTGGTGTCCAATACAATTATATGCATAATGATCTTAATGGAGAGTTGAGCACATAATTATTGGGTCTGATGGAAGATGCATCACTGCAGAGCACGTTTGCTTGTGGCGTGGACGAACAGAGGTCGCAGCAGTCTGAAGTGGATGTACCAAAGCAGCAAAATCTATTTACTTTATTAACTCTCACCTGTATCTTTCTTCTCTGTCACTTTTTCCAGTGTCAAAAGATCCCCAGGTCGAGATTTACTTGCCTGCTTAGCAGCAACTTTTTGTGGTGCAGATGTGACTGTGTCCTTAACCATTTCTCTCATGTTACTGTCTCCTGTACTCCCCAGTTTGCCAGAGCTACTGGGTAGTACGTCTCTATTAAATTTAGCATTGCATTTTAGCAAAGCATCTGTGTCAAAGATAGGCTGGGAGGCCCCATGCACGCCTTCCCAGCTGGTAGTGCAGTCTGTTAGTCCAGCAGCTTTACCACTCAGTTCAGGACACACACCATGAAGCAATCCTCCCCCTATAATTGCCAGAAAACAGCAAAGACATTTCGAATTAGAATACATTTTTTTTTCTTCATTTTGTCAATAGAATGAAGAAACGCATATAGTGAACAATACAGCCAAAGTATGACAAATCACAGGTCTTGCACACAAAATGTTAAGCTTGAATTCACAAAAATTTGAAATGCATGGAATACCTCTCAGCCTACTCACAAATAATGCTTTTTTTAATAGTGTCTAGTTTTCAGAGCAGAAGAAAGATGGCAAGTTAATAGTATTCTTCATTTGCTACAATTATTTTAGTATTAGATCTTTCAAGTCACATTTCTGATCCTTTCAAGATATCTCACAAAATTGCCCTAGGCCACATCTCTCTGTTCTAAGGCTGAGAGGTTTGCAGTTTCAATACAAATGAGAGTGAGGATGGTGCAGACAGACAATTTATTCTAGCCCAATGATTTCATTAATCTTTATGGATTAGTTCAGGCAGTGGCAAACAGAAATAATCCATCAGCAAAGGGAGAACACACAGGGTTATAGAAGGTTTACAAAAGACACATTGCACTGATTATTAGGTTTAGGCATGGAAACAAATTTCTTAGGAACTGACTGTATATAGAATGGTGTGCATTAGAGGTGATATACCAGATTACTGAATCAGAGTGACATTCCATTTTCCAGGATACCTATGAAGTGAACTTGGTAGTGCTCTCATACAGTGGTTCACAAGAAACACCTGAAGAAGACTGGATGGTGAAGGTGAACAGTCTACAAGAGTGCAGTGACTGTGAAACTATGGCTGTGAGAGCATAGGATCTATGGATAAATTATTATTTGTGGACAACATTGTAAAACAAAGCAATTGGTTACAAATAATTGCTGAAAACATCTTTACTTAATTTAAACCCAGCATTTATACCATTGAAAAGAGCAATGGAAAATAGCTTACCAATGGCTGCTTTCACCTCTATAGGCTCTGAATCCTGTGAAAATTCACTGAGCCCTGCTGCGTTAACAGCTCTGACTCTGAAAATGTACTTCTCACCATTGCTGAGCCCATGGCAAACAAATCTAAAACAGACCAGTAAAGGAATACTTAGAAAGCATTATGAAGAAAATAAAAATCCTAATGGGGAAAAGAAAGCATTTCTTCCATAAAATGTATTCTGGTTTCTGAAAACTGAGGACAAGCCATGACCCCAGTCACTTATATGAAGGTCAGAGAGTGCAGAATGTATCTGAACACCTCATTCACGCAACAAAGATAATGCCCAAACCCATCCAGTAAAGGAATACTTAGAAAGCATTATGAAGAAAATAAAAATCCTAATGGGGAAAAGAAAGCATTTCTTCCATAAAATGTATTCTGGTTTCTGAAAACTGAGGACAAGCCATGACCCCAGTCACTTATATGAAGGTCAGAGAGTGCAGAATGTATCTGAACACCTCATTCACGCAACAAAGATAATGCCCAAACCCATGTCTCTTTAGACATTTACCAAC